TGTGCACCGTGGCATCCGGACAGTGTGACGTGGTCCACCCTCTGGCCTCTTCCCCATGAGGAGCAGCTGGCTGCTGCAGTCAGTGTACGTTAGCCCATTACAGACGATGCACAGCAATCCCAGAGAGGTCATTAGGCCTTTCAGAAACCTTTGCCCTTGGCTTTGGAGTATGCGATACTTGGCCTAATCCCAGTCGATCGTAGAAGTCAAGATTAGTTCAGGCTGAGGACCCCGATCTTGGAAATGACGAGTGAAAGAAGTTATCAGTAGTCAAAAAATCTGTAAATTCCCTTCATTTCTTACTATAAAAAGTCTGTACCTCCCCTTTGTTAAGTGAAATATACTACTCTTAAGTTGTTAAATCTTAGTAAGTGAAAACATTTTATTGCAAGTTTTTACACGTACATAAGTTTTGTTATCCTCTAAGATTATTTTTTTTTGTAAATTGCAGAGTATATTCATTTAAAGTAAGTATATTATAAAGTATATCTAGAGAAAGAGTTACTTTTAACAGTTGGGTTTGTTTCTGTGCATTCTAAATTTATTTTCTCTAAAGTTTCATAGATTATTGAGAGAAAGCCTATCAACACATATTTGTTCTGTATTGCTGTGGCCTAGCATCACCAATGGTTATGTTTTTTTTAAAACCATAAACTTTCAGTATCAAAATTAATTTTTTAGCAAAATAACATTTTATGCTTTTCCTTTCAATTCTAATTCCAATGAGGAAGGAAGTTTCTGATTCCCGCCTTTTTATCTTGTGTCACCCAAAATTTAGTTACAGGTTAGATTATTATACCCCAGAGTATCTCTACTCCTTATGGTACATGGTAAATTTAGCCAGAAATATTTATCCAGTTAAAGTCTTGTGATTTTTCTAAAGTATTCAAGTTTTATTTAAATGTGTTTTTTATTGTAAATAAGGTCATTAGTTAGATTCTTGCCCTTGAATGTCCAGGCTTCCTACTTGTGGCGTTACTGTTGAAATCTGAAATGTCCCCATCCAGCAAGAGTGAGATTACACTGTCTCGACCAGCAGTTTGGTTTCGTTGCTACACAAGTCTGTTTTAAACCCAGGTTATCTTTTCAGATGAAGTGTACATTTTCATTTTTTTGTATACGGTACAAGATCAGCATTATTACTTTAAAGCTTCTTGCCTTGACATTGTGGTGTCTTCTGTGCGAAGTGTTAAAATTGGACTATTTTAGATTTGCAAAGAACCTGGAGCCAAAATTCCCAGTAAAGACACATGGATGTCTATGTCAGCAGAAGAGAAAAATAACACATCTATTTTAAGTTAGTTGGAATTCCGAAGTCAAACCACTTGGTCGAATGCCTGCCATAGTGATATTAAAATTTCAAACATATTTACAAAACCTCTGCTGCCTCCTGCTGCCTGTTGTGTGGATAATTTAACAGAAGTTAAGAATTCCAGAAGAATTAACTGTTTCTTCTTGCATTGGTAAATGTTAAACTTGAAATTATGGATAAATTAAGAAGTAAAGTAAACATCCTGGAGTTAAAATAGTAGGTGGAAAATAGTAATGTAATTTCAACTTACGAATTTTTCAGGCTTTAAAGATGGAAACATTATTGAGGTTTTTACATTACATTTTTTAAATCATAAAGTCATTGTCAAGAAAAGGCTTAGTTTCTGAGCCCCAGGCGGTATGGCAAGTTTATAAGCAACTAAGAATCTGGGATAAATTATACTGTACTTTATTTTTAAGATAAAGGACACTTGAGAGACTTGAACTAGGTTGTGAGGACAGTAGGAAAACTTGTCTGTGTTTATACTTACCTGGCCCTGGATCCATGGAGTTGGGACATGGCAGAGGCAGGTGGGGTGATTTGAAAGAAGAACGGTGTATTTTTCATGCGATTGTTTATTTATTCTGCAGACTATGTCTTCTGTGCGCTAGATACTGTGCAGGCCTCTGGGAAACAATAACAGAAGGGGGGGGGTAGCATGCAGTAGAGAGCGAGCTTACTGCAGTGAGTGCACGAGAGTTACTCTCAGGCAGATGAACGCCAGACTTGTAGTTTCCCTCATTCTACTGTCAAGTTTTATTGGGAGGCGCCAAACACTCTGTGAGCAACATCGCATATAGGGCCTTAAATTCTCAGGTATATTACACAGTTCTTTCTTGGAAATTGCTTCATGATCTAACTTGCAAAGCCTGATCAAAATCAACTAATAATTTTTTTTGTAGGGTAGTATTTAGATGTTTAGATTCCAGTTGGATGTTGAGTGACAGCGTAGTTTTTAAAAATGTACCCAGAAGATCAACTTAGAGATGAAAAAGGCATCTAACATAGAGTCCCCTGTTACAGTGTAAAACATAAAGTGGCTGTTTTACTACCTTTGATTTCGTTTTCTTTGCAGTCTTCAATTCACAGATTTGGCGTACGGTTCAGTAGAAGAATGAGAATGAGAGGAGACTGAGATAACTGAACTAGAAAAGATCATCTAAAAATAAGGAGAATACAGACAGACTTACTAGAAATGTATAGAAGTCTAGGCAATTAATTGAAAATTCAAGCTAACGCCACGTTTTGTTAACTTCTGTGGAAATCAGCACATTGAAGTATTTCATGTTCTTTGATGTCCACACCGATGGTCTAGTTCCATCAGAGGGAGATTCGGTGTGATGACCCTGTATTTTAGTGGCGTAGAGGGAGAGCACTGGCTTGGGAGTTAACCCGGCTTGGTGTGAGTGCTGGCACTCACTAGCTGTTTAGCTGGTAGGTCACTTAGTTTCCTGGGTGTAAGAGCATTGTCTTCCAGAACAGCCGTGACTGAGATTAAAAAGCCAACTATTTTTCATCAAGTACAACAGTGGTTTCCAAACTTTTTGACATCAGGATATCATTATACTATTAAAAATATTGGAGACCTCAAAGAGTTCTTTTTTCTATAGTTATGTCTATTAATATTTGCTGTATTAGGCATTAAGTCTGAAATTTTAAATATGTATCCATTTAAAGAATGATTTACTTAATGCATAATTTTGTGACCTCCGTGTATCCTCATTCAGAAATATTGGTTTGCTAAATTATGCAAGTCTTCCAAATGTTGGTACATTTCTTTATATAATTTTTTAAGCCACATTTATTGATATCACCACAGATAGAAGCAGAAAGTCTTTATAATTATCGAGAAGCTACAAAACACATGGTAGATACAGGTTTTCCAAAATTCTTACTTTTATCTAAAATTTGGAATTTTATCATTGGCAATAAATACCACCAGTTGTTTTTCTTGAAGTGACATGTTCACTTCTTTAATTTTCAAGAAAATTTCTGCTAGATAACCAAGTCTGAATAACCAAAGTTTGTCTGCCATCTTTTCAAGTAGAAACAGTGTTCAGTTGTAAAGATTAAATAACTGTTACCAACTTCTTGCAACCTGAGTCAGCAGTCAGTAAACAGTAGCTAGTTCATGGTGGCATATGACATTTTACATGTTGTCATAATACCTCTCACCCATTTTTGTTTATTGGAAGAGAATGACCTGTTCATCTAAAGCCTCGTGTAAATCATGGAGAAGTAGAAGTGGAGCCGAGCACCGTAGGTCATTCAAATAACATCGTCCTTCTCCCCCCGCTCCTTAGGCTTCAGGAAAGAACTCAAGAACTTGGAAGTAGGCGGCAAAGCGCATGAGCGCCAGCCCGAATCACATGTACAAGTGAACAATCCTTTGATTAACAGGTAATCGGAGATATTTGGAAATGTTAAACTGTTTTATTTTTGTAATAAAATTAAATGCAAGTGTTACAGACACACTGTCTATCAGAAAGGCATCATACATACTACTGCTGTGGAAGCGGTGGGTCTGCACTGTCATGGTGCCTCCGTTGCTGGGGACCGACCGGTAGAAGGATGCGGACCTCAGGGAGGAGGGCCGGCCATTGACAGGACCCACTGCGGCCGGCTCGGTCCTCACAGCATTCTCACAAGGTGGATGATATTTCACAAAAGAGAAAAGGTGGGGCCTGGGTTAAGTAATTTGCCCAAAGCTGTGGAGCTGAACATAGCTCTCATCTACCTAGCAGAGCCTCAACCCTTCCCACCATTCTGCTCCAACTGAAGCCCGTGTGGTTCACATGCTGAAAATAATCAGATGAGCAACAATAATTTGCAATGTGATATCATTTATCTTCACCTTAAAAGTTAATTACTACCTACTGGAGCTAATCTTGATTGACAAAATTATTTTAAATTAGTATATTATCCTTATAGCATTATATATCAAAATTTAAGTGCTTTTAGTGGTGTAAACTTTGTACTGTTGGTTGGAAAGTGTTTTAGGGTATCTCACTGCAAATAAGTGTAATTTCAGTGTTTGTCGGTTGAAGATACATATTTTTAATCACACTTTTAATTATTAGAAATTTGATTTTAGTAATCGCAGATATTTCTGCTAAGTATTCATGTATTCTGGCATAAAGATTTTGGATTCGGAATATAAAATGTTAATGGTTCTGTTTTGTTACAAAAATAAACTGTACATTGGGAGGTTAAATTACAGGACCAGTGTTTGTTTTTCTCCAGTTTTGCATATTTGTATGTGCTGTTTAGCTTGTTTTGTCTTTGTATTTCAGGTCACACGCACGTGAATCCAACGGAAAGTTATTCCCTTTGTCCAGTCCGCCAGTACTCAAGGACCAGATAGCAAATGAGCATATCCACCAGTCAGGTGAACAGAAACTTGAAAAATCAAGTGACTGCAAATTTTCTGAGTGGCACAATATAGAAAATGCTGAGAGAACAGGTTTACTTTTTCACCTCGATGATAATTCTGCTTCTGGAAGGAAAATGAGCAGTAATGCAATCGTCTCGCCATCCTCACCGTGGCCCTCACAAACGAGAACTGCTGGCTTAAAGCCAGAAACTGCTCCTCACACCAAGCAGCAAACGGGGGCAGAGCAGTGTTACGCCGAGAACTCTGTGTCCGGGGAGCATGTAGTTCAGGCAGCCTACAGGTCTGATGGGCGTCTGGTGCCAAAACTCCTTTGCCAGAATATACCACCGCCTTTGCCACCAAAAAAATATGCAATAGCCAGTGTGCCACAGTCAGAGAAAAAGGATTCTGCGCCTGACGTCAAACTTACAGAGATGCTCAAAGTTGGTCCTTCTAGTCTTCCGAAACATGGCTTCAGTACAGCTTCAGAACCAGGTTCAGAAGCGAGTGCACATTTAAATGATGAAAGACTCAAGGAAACATTTCAAGTGAAAGAGCATGTGGGCAATGCGCCGAACCAGCCATCCAGCTCTTCCGCTCACGACGTTCAGGCAGATGTGGGTCCAGCTGTCGATGCTTCGTGCCAGGCAGAAACAGACTCCAGTTCCACCTGCCCAAGTGAGACAATTTCGTTAACTACCTATTTTTCAGTTGATAGTTGCATGACTGATACGTACAGGCTGAAATACCATCAGAGGCCCAAGCTCTGTTTTCCAGAGAGCAGTGGCTTCTGCAACGAGAACTCACTGTCTCAGAGTGAGCGGGGGCTGGGACCTGCGTTACATAGTAGTCTTAGTTCAAACCGCCCCTCTGAGCAAAGATACAAACCTGGCATACACTGTAATAGGTAAACGATGAAACCGGCACACTCACTCTCAGACCAGACGAAACCTAGTGCAAGATGAAATTAAAACCGTGGCGTTTTTAAAGCCACTGATCACTTTAACTTCCTCTCTATATTTTTTCGTTTTGTGATAATCAACTTATTGGATATTTTAGGGAACCCTTTGAACAGTCTTGGCATGCTTCGAAAAAATAGAAAATGAGGTGCAAAAACTCATTTACCATTTGCTGCTGTTGAATAAGAATGGAATTCGTTCCTGTTTTTGTGTTGGTAGACCCACAGGTGTTACACTAACCAGTACTCGTGTTTGTGGGTTGGTAAACTGTGCTAACTGAAAATGCCATAGACAAATGGCTTGCGTGGTCAAAGCAGGATTCACTATATAGGACTTTGTCACAACCAAAAGAATGCTTCGGCCATCTATTTCCGACTTCTGTGATAGTCTCTGCATATGACTTAAGTGTCTTAGAAATATCGACCCATGAGATTGACAGCAGTTGACCAAAAAAAAAGCCTTAATGAAAAAGAAATTTTTAAATTCTCAAGATCAAAACAGAAGAAACTGAATTTTTCTCCTAGAACTCTACTTTCCAAACGCCTAGTTAACATAAATTAGGCCTTTGACTGTTGTGTGTATTCATAAACATTACTACAGCCAGGTAAGCTAAAAATAATTAAAATACTTTCATGTATTTATTTATCTTGCTACAGTTTTTCTAATTTCATATGAAATGTGAAAGCTTTTTATTTTGGTTTGATTGACTTCGGGCTGCTAGTACCAACGTTAGGAATAACGTAGTGCCCTCTTCCTGGGAATCTCACTGTGACTGCCGACATGTCCCCTGCTGTAATCTTACCTAATATAGGTTGTCAACCCATTTTATTTTCTGATTCTTGAATTTAAAAATCTTTCTGGGTTTCCAGATTAAATTTCTGCCATTCATATAGAGATTTAATTTTAATAAAATTTATTGTTTTGAGCATCCTTCCCTTTTTTTCTAGCCATTTTACCCTACTTTCGTGGAGAGGGCTTTTTTATTTCTAAACAAAATAAAGGAATTTTCCAAGATGATGATGACTTTACAAGTGTGAAAATTCAATTGCCTTATTTCATTAGTTGTCATTTTATTTTGTGCTAAGCTAGTAAACCGGCTTAGACTAGTTTTATCTTGTTCACTCCAAACAATTGAGAATGATAGAATTAAAATTTTAAAGTTTATAGCTATAACTTGACAATTCTATAAACTAATTAGTAAATTTAATATTTTGAACAATTCCACAAATTGTCAAATATTCCACATTGTAAATGAATGAAAATACTTCTAGACAAAAAGAAAGTAATTGCTTATAAAAGTCTAACTTCACCCAGTTACCCAGTCTCGGTCAACTTTGACTTCATACTAGCAGTTTTTAATAGCCTTTTCTAACTATAACAGTAAGTGATTATTACTTTATAGTCTCTCAATTTAGAAATACTTGAATATCAAGTAAATTAAAATTTATCTTTTAAGAAAGCTTATTTTTTAACATAACTTTTAGTATGGAACATTTGTAAATATTGTAAACTTTGTAAAATTGTGTTTGAAATGTCTGTATTTAAATACTGCTTTTGTAACATTGTGATATACTAGAAAATGGGCCTATTTCAAGTATTTTTAATAACTTTCAAAAACATTCTGTGTAGGTTTTTTTGTTCTTAATTTTTTCTTGGTCAAGATGTCCAGTTGAACTGTGTTGTCTGAAACAGTTAAAACTAATTTCTGATATTTAACAGCAATCTCATAGATTTATATTTTCAACTCAGTTGAATTGCAGATGTCAAATAGAAATGTCCGATTTTGGCTTTTTTTTTAAATACTGTCCGGTTGAAACCTCCTGAATCATGTTATAGTACTAACAAACTAGAAACTGACCATTTGTTTTTATGTTGATTCAACACTTCAAATATAGAGTGAATGCATATTTAATAACTAATCATTCACATGTAAAATTTTTATTTTTAGGGTGCCTATTTATTTTTATAGGTATTTCGTTTACAAGCTTATTATACTTTTGAAATAATGCAACCAGCAATTGTAATGTTCGAAATACTTATCTTCCACATGTTCTATTTTCATGTGAAATTGTTTTCTCCAGTTCAGTTTTTTTTTTTCAGATAAACTGATCTTTAAGTTGATATGGTTGGACTTTTCTTTGCATTTATCAGCTATGGCTTCCTCTTCCCCAAGATGGATTATGTATTTTATGAGAAATGTTAAGTCAATTTAAAGTTCAAGGATATGTGAACTATCACAGGAGGCTGCTAAGAGTTCAGCTCCAGTGAGGACTTCTACAGGAGTTGGCAAACTTTCTATACAGCCAAATAGTAAAGGACTTAGGCTTTGTGGACCTTGTACCAAACCAGCTACTCAGCTCTGCCAGTACAAGGTGGAAACAGCAATGAACAATATGTAAATGATGGGCACGTGTTTCAGTAAAACTTTGACACTGAAACTTGGGACTTCATGTAATTTTCACATAACATGGTCTTTTTTTCAATCAATTTAAGATGTAAACATAATACTTAGCTCATGGGCATTATAAAAATCTGGCCCACTGGCCATAGTTTGATGACCCTTATCCTTATCTACATTAAATGCCTTTACTGACCCTGAATATCCTGTGGTCCCTGAGTATATTCTAGTGCCATTTCAGGACTAGGTACATGGAGCAGTTTACATCCTAAATTTTCACTCCTACAGACTTCCTCACAATTGTTTATCAGCCAGTTCATTTCAAATAGTTATTAAAGCAATCATTTCTCACATGAAATTGTTTGTGAAACTTACCAGATTAAAATCGCTTTGCTATTCTTTTGATGTCTTTGTTTTTGTCACAGCAAGTTTGCCAGCTTCTCTTGGTGTCCTATTTATCCACTTAAAAGCCTTCAGTGTGGATACTTTAAGCAGTCCCTCTACGAGATGGCACAGTTCAGTGATAGGCACAATTCTTACTCATCACGTGTAGGAAGGATTCAACCCTCATGCTGCCACCATTTCTGTATGCCATTTACAGGCATGCCCTAACACTGGAAGATGAAAGATTGCTCCGTCTTCCCAGTACTAGAAATTCCCAATATTCGATAGCTGCGGTTGGAAGCTGATTTTAGGCTTGGAAAGGGAGCGTGGATTGTTTGTGTGTGGCCTAACGTTAAGCTATATGAGAACTGTTAATCCTCTTGCAACCTCACTACCAAGTACTTTGTTGGAACAAATGCAGATCAGACCAGATTTAGCTATACAGTAAACATTTATTGGACAAAATTATTAGCAAGCAGCACAAAAACAGTTCATAGAATGTTTGCACACTCAAGGAAATCCCAGTTGTTTCTCTAGATGCTTCAACCTTTACATAAAAGGTTTCCTTTAGACAGATGCAACAACACCCTGAAAGCGTAATTGTTAATCTTATATTCGGCTGTTTAAATCCTCCAAAAGCCATTCCAGATTCCACTCCAACCTTAAGTGCCACTGAAAAGGCAGACGTGGAGTTTACCAGATCTATGCCTTGATTTGGAGGGGGAATATCCTCAAAATACATATGCAATTCACATGTATCAAATGTCACCAATATCAACCACTAGAGGCTATTTCTCACATGTTATTATAAAGGAATTTCTTTTCTTAAGAATGGCTTCTCAAGGGTTTATGGTGGCTGCTCTGGGAAGGTGACCTGTTTAAATACCAACTGAGCACTTTTAAAATGTGAATTCTTGTTAACATATTTAGATAAAAAAACGAGAAGGTAAGCTCCATGAAAACTAGGTTTCTTTTTTTCACTGCCATACCTGGCTCATAGTAAGTGCTCACATATTTGCTGAATGAGTAAACAGGCCGACTCTGCTGAAGTATTTCAGAAAGTTACAGAAATTATAAAAATAAACATGTTTTGGCCACGAGCATTCTTAATGCAACCACAATAATAAAAAATAGATTTGGGACACACAATCCTGTTTGAGTTCAAGAGCTTAACAGGAGGAGGGGCAGCTTGTGGGTAAGAGCTTTCCAATACTGGATATTGCCAACTTTCTCTAAGATCCTATCGATCTGGCAGCCACAGCAGAGGCTCACTTAATCTAAAAATTAAACAGGTACTCACAGCCAGTACTTTGTGGACCTGCGTTTTCTGTATAGCTTTTAACTTCTCAAAGCCTTCCCTTGCTTTTGAGTAATTTATTTTTTTTCAATACTTCATCTTATTCATTATATTACTTGCATCCCACCAAAACCTGGCCAACCCTTAACATGTTAAACATACTACTATAACTCTTAATGAATACACTAAATTTTTCTGTATAAATAATTTTAATTCAGCTCCTGTAAAGCCATCAGGTGTTTGAAAAAAGTTCTTACACGAATCAGAGTCTAAAGAACTCAGCTATGAATGGGTGAGATCTTACCCATTTAATATAGTCCCCCAGATAGGTAAGGATGCGTAAAATGGAAGGAAGGTCCCTTAGAGTGTGAAATTCTTCTGTTGCACAATCCCGTCTGTCTTCTTTGTTCAAGTTGTAGTCATTTTCAGAATCCATTCCAGGAGCCAACTTCTTCATTGAGATATTAGGCAAACCATTCTGTAAAAGCCAAATATTTGTCAACAGTGTTTCTTTTTTCTTCCAATTTTAATTTTGTATGCCACTTTCTGAAGTTGTTTTAGTCACTTGCCAATTCTTAAATGATTTACATATTGCTCTGAGAAGAACAAAATGGCCTGGACTAGTCCCCCTAAGGCTTTCATTTTGTAACCGTCTTACACCCAGAGGTGAAAATTCAGGCCATTAGAAAAAAAAAAAACAACGCTATACATGAGGTATCAGCCTCTACCAAAAAAGGAGGAGGTAGAGAACAGTGGAAACTTCTTAATGAATGGCTCAACAGAGGCTCTTATGGAAATACCCACCTCTTCCACTCTCCCTCCTTAACTCCGTCTCCCAATCTGTCACACTCTCTAAGAAATCAGATACAATGGGGCCTCACACACAACAATCTGACGCCTAAATCTCTGCCAGAACCTGGAGGTGGATTAGTCACAACCCATCCAGTTCATAAGCGTGATGACCGAGAGACGTTAACATGGTGAATAAGCAGTCACCTCCAAAGTCCAAAGGGCTGTTTAGTGTCCCGACCAGCCCCACTGCTTCCACAGGCCCCTCCTCAGCTCACTGCTGCTCTCCTTCACCTGGGCCTGAGTTATCATCTCAGGCCTGTGTCCCTCTTCTGGTTCTGCCGCTCTAGGTTCCCTTCCTTTATCTCCTGCCAGAACTGTCTTTTCAGAATTAAGTGGCAATGAAAATGGAGAGCAAGGATTTTTTTTCAAGTGTAATCTACAGAATTTTGTTTTGGGATGTGTGGGGGTGTAAAAAAAAAGGAACCCGCGTCTGGGAAGGGGTACCGAATGGATGAAGCTAACATTTACTGAAGTGGGAACACTTGGGTGAGAAGCTGTTTCGAGTACAGCTCTGGGCCTCTCTGGGATACCTGCACAGCCTGCTCTCTTTTAATGGAGCACTGACTAACATCGCCTGTGGATACATCGCTATCATTAAATCCTCACGACGCCCGCACGACCTGGTTACTATTGGTCGCGAGTGGTAAAAGAGAAAAGCTCCGAGAAGCCAGCTTCTCGTTTTTCGTGGTAGTGAGGAACAGACACAGTGGGTTTCATTCCAGAACCTCTCTCTCCATACACACGTAGGCATGTCTCCCTACACCTCTTTCAAGATCCCCACGGCGGTGGCGAGGTAAATATGTGCATTCTACCGTCTTCGTCCCAAGTCCCCGCCCCGCCCCCGACCCCGCCACTCACCTTGGACACAGCACACTCTGGAATTCAGTCCCCACCCCGGCCGGCCCGGGGACTCGATGACCTCTAAGCCCCTTGCCACTTCGACTCGCAGAGTACTCACCAGGGCCAAAGGTACACGAAGAAAAACAACACCAGGTCGACGAGGAAGAACAGCCAGAGATCCAACCAGTACGACTGTTTTGGGAACCGCTCCGCCGCGGTCCGAGGCGGCACTTGGTGGTTCGGCTGCTGCCTCGCACCTTCGC